AGTTATTGTTAATTATCTATTGGTTTAATGTAAGTGGCTATTGTTCGGGATGAACAATACTAAGGAAGAGGCAGTGTTACGACAACGGAAGTCGCGTGCCGCTGGGAGCGTGCGCACTGAAGTTTCTTGAAGGATCATGAATTATCGGGGAGGCCCGAGTTTGTTCGAGACGTCCTCTTTTTTAGTATATAAGCCTGGCGAAAAAAACCAGCGCGATTGAAGAGATATAGATAGATTGGAGATATGGATAATTGAGTCAAGCGAACAGTAGGCACCGTAAGTAAAGTGTCTGAATCACTGTGATTTGTAGCGTGTGTTATAAAAGTAGTTAAGTTTAATGTACTGATTGGAAATTCTGTGTATTACAAAGTTTGTATCAAGAAAGAATAAACTAGTTTTAATCAAGAAAGGACTTGAATTGCTGAAGTTCCTCGGAAAGAATTTATACCCGAAATTATCAAACAAGCAGATACGCAACACTACTTTACCAGCAAACGTTTCACCACGAATAACCTCTCGAATAAATACATTTCAAATAAAAAATATTACTTATGCCAATGTTCCTCTCCCTTCCGATGGCTCAGCGATAATCTTAGGGTTAATGATGTTAAAAAATCGGGTTTCGATACCCGTAGTGGTCACAACACAGATAACTCATTGTGTAGCTCTACGCCTAACAACAAACAAATAACTTTAATCGGATGACATAAGACAATATTTTTTTAATGTTCGTGACCGGGTGGATCAAAACACCAGATTTGACACACTCATCGTTTGAGGCATGGATAATATTATCATAAGGTGGTGCCATGGACTGTGTTGCCCATTAGGGGCTTTAGTTGTTATTTTTAGTTTTTAAACGTTTTAATTAACCTTTGCTGAAATTCATAGACGGATCTCATCTATCATAGGTTTATCATGTTTCAATAGAATAACCTCCTCTTCGAAAATACTGTTTTAGGTTGTTCTCACTTCTTGAAAACCCATTGTTTCAATCTGACTGGAAAATAAACATGTTGAGTTCTTGCAGGAATATGGATTGGGAAGCCTATATATAATTGTTTATGAAGATGGTGGTTACATGAAGTGTTCTGCTGACAGCCTTCAGAAAATCGGACTACATGGCTTTTCTTCAGAATGTTTTGGAATTTCAAAACTTGAAGCCTTGCCCATAGAGCTGAAGTTTTGTTTTATTTTGTTTTTTAAATTGTGCTAAGTATCATCTATCCTGTCACTTAAAATTTGCTTCTTCTAAACTAAGAAAGATTCAAGAGAAGAAATGTAAACATGACAACACTGTATCAAGTGGGTAAGATAATGAACAGATAGGCAAGCCCTTGGACCCCTGTTCCATTCTTGATGTTTGCATGCTTTGCATGAATCCATCTGGAAATATATATCTCTGTATCACATGCAGCTTGCTCAGGACTTCCTTAGGATGATAACAAATTTAAAGGACACAGCGTTATTGACGAAAATAACAGGAAGAAACTTGATGGTAATTGAAGCCAATTACCACCTAACTGTCTGAATGCCTACGGAAACAGTTACAGATCCATGCAGAGGAGAAAACAAGTGTCTCAGACACTAATGAGGATAGGATTCTGGAAGCCAGAGTTTTTGCTGAACTAGTATATTTTTTTAATGCTGATTAGAGACAGGGAGGTACATTTTCAAGCTGTCTAAGCTACACATCCTCTAAGAAAATTGGCTAGAAATAATGAGAATTCCTAAAATCATAAGCAAAACCATGTTTATGACCCAACTCCTGAAACATTTTTTAGTATAATGCAGGCAGACAAGGAAAAATACTCTGTTGGTGTTTAACAATGATTTAAAGAAACTTCCCAAGGAGGCTTTAACTTTCCGTGATTATTTAGCTGAAGCGATACAAGTCCTTTCTTAATTAAAACTAGTTTATTCTTTTTCGATACAAACTTTTAGTACACAGTAATTTCACAGTCACTACCTTTCTGGTCTCTTTACTTAACAACTTTTATTATGCACGCTATAAATCACAGCGATTCTCAAACTCGATAACTTTGATCTATGCGACGACTACAAAACACACAACTTACAGCTCACCGTCGCTACCGTTTACTTGATTCAATTATCTATGTATATCTCTTCAATCGCGCTGGTTTTTCTCGCCAGGCTTATATACTAAAAAAGAGGGAGTTTCGAACAAACTCGGGCCTCCCTGATAATTCATGATCCTTCGAGAAACTCCAGCGCGCATACTCCCAGAGTCACGTGACTTCCGTTGTCGTAACAGTATTATACCGAAATATAATGCGAAGTATACTTTTCATTTAAATATATATATATTTCACAAAATAAATTTTTAAACATTTACGCCACAAAGTGCTTCTTCTTGGCTGTTTGGAGAATCACAGCTGTAATATTGGGTGATAAATCTTCTAATATTATTTGTTACACCCTCAGCGTTTACTATGCCAAGTGTGATGCTGTTTTCCTGCAGGTCACGATTTTTATACTAATCTACCTGTCCCCGGTACAGCGGTAAGTTTACAGATTTACAACGTTAAAATCCGGAGTTAGATTCCCTGTGATTGACACAGCACATAGCCCGATATGGTTTTGCTGTTAATCAAAACAATCAAACCAGCTAATCTACCTGATGGCTTAAACCAATCATAAGATAGGAGATTACGAATTTAGAATGGAAATTGAACACTCTGATATTACTGGGGAAGGAAAGATCGAGAAAGTGAATGAAAACACCAATAATGGGAAAACTTAAAAAAAAATATTTAAGTTTAAAAAACAAAATCAACATATGCATAAATATGCTCATACTGGGATATCAAACTATTGTATATGTTTTTAAAATAACGTGAATATAAAGAGGATAAATTGAAACTTGAATTTCTTCTCAGAGTTCCTTCGTTTATTCATGTTTTTATATTTGTAATAGATGGCAGTGGAAACTGACAACTAAGTTCAGTAATTATAATTCATGCTGAATTAGGAGGAAAATATTAACAGTGAGGTTTGACGAAAGAGTATCGAGCTTCATATGCCTTTCTTATTATTTTCTATTTCTTGTAAAAAAAACAACAACAAAAACCCATTAGATCTAAGTGTTGTTTCAAAGCTAATTATTGTACTGTTTAAAATATAACTAAGTGTTTTAGAATTTAGAGTACACATGGTATTGATATGACCGGTAACTCGGAAACTAGCGGACCATAATGGCTGTATCCGTGGTATTTGTTTTGGACCAGGTCTAAGATTAAAATTGTTGCTAGTGCTGAAATCACATCCACTGATCCGTTGTTTTTGTAGATGGTAATATTTCTATTAGTAGGGGCTGATATGCACTGTAACAAGAAGAATGATAAAGCCCGAAAATGCTTGTGGCAAAACATTATTATTTTTTTTATTGTTAAACTTGATAACAGATCTTGTACCGATTACAGCATTACCATTAGTACTACTGATGGGTAAAAGGTTTGTTTTCAAGTTTAACAATAAAAATAGTACTAGTTGTACGGTTACTTGTGTAGTTATGTGCACCAATAGTAATAAAAATTTAAAACTTTAGATGTACAGTAGAGTGTAAGCTAAAATCTTTACATTTTAACTTTTCAAACTAATTTTAACATTTATTATATTAAATGTGGTTAAATTAATATTACTATTAGTAACACTCAGTTTGATATATGGCAATATTTGGTAATTAAACCCCAACTGGAGCATGTTTAACCAAGTTTTGGATTTTTGCCTTTGCATTTATTGTCATCATAAATGCACAATGCAGAAACTAAATATTAGAAAAATTGGATGTGATTTTTTGCACTGTTTAGTCTGTTTTTTAATATCAGTTTGTTGCAACGTTGCTTCCTATTGAATCAACTTGTATAATCAATAGAAACAGGGTATATGATAAGACCTCAGAATATTTTTGTGTAGGTAATTTCTGGCGATATAAAATTCACTTGCTCTGTTTCAGTGTTGTTGTTTTTAAAGATATACTTGTGAGTGCATATGTCAGGTAACGAGGTGAGACAGCGGTAAGTCCTCAAATTTACAATGTTAAGACCAGTGGTTCAATTCCCCTCAGTGGACACAGCAGATAGCCTGATGTGGCTTTGCTATAAGAAAACGCACATGCATATGTCAGTATTTTACTGAACTTCAGGAATTTGTAGAGAGAAATGTGTTAAGACTATTATCAAAATTTTCACCATTGAATTTTACCATTTGTCAGGCAGTTGATAAAAACAGTGCTATGGAAATGAAGAATGACCAAAATATATTAAAATCTGTTGATGCTTGCAGTTTAAACCTTAAAGTAATTACTAATAGAAATATACCATATCATTTATGATACTACCATACCTGTAATCATTTAAGCATTACCGATAGTATGTATTGCTTTTCTAAACTAACTTGTAACCACCTGCGATACTGTGAGGAAAAAAATGGATTTAAAGCCATCTGTCAGAAGATTGTTACAGCATGTTTGTTCTGAGACACTATTAAAATTTTGAATTTTTTTTATATACTTGTAAATTTGGATCTTGAAGACTAGCATGTTATATAGCTATTCATGATAATTAACAACTTGATTAAACTTTTGCTGAATAAGAACATTATTGATAATTCTTATATGACAGATTATTTTGATTCAAAAGATGGCTGGTTGACTTCATTGGAACAAAAGCCCTTATGTTTCTTTTACATTATAATTATTATAACATCTAATTTTTTAAATTTGAATGTTTGTTAAAACTAAATTAAACTATTCACTCTAAATAATTATTATTTAAACAAGTCAAAAAATATAAGAGACTTGTTATTGATTAATGTTTGTTGGTAAGATTTAAACTAGCTGAATATAATCTGTTTGTGTTATGCTAAGAGTAGAATGGTAAAAAGATATGTTTTTTTTAGCATTTATTATTCATTAAATATATCATTGAGACCTAACTGGAAATAGAAGATGTTTAGTTGTTGTATGCTTGGAAAGTTTGCAATGCAAAATGGAACAGAGTGTTGTGAATCCTTCTGTGGAGAAATTGTTTATAATTTATTTATGCAGATTATGATTTGAAAATATAGTGTTATTTGCTTTCCTTTTTATGAACTCTAGTCAGAGTATTTTGCCCACTTTTTTTATGTCTTTAATTTTGAAAGATGTAGACATACCTGCAAGACTACAGAATAAAGCTACCTAAGTGGTTTCTGACTTAAATAATTTAATCTGTGAGAATGAATTGAAACATTTGTTGTTGCTGCTGTGGAATGTAAAAACAAAAATATGTATGATTCAAAAATTTGAAGTAAAACATTTAAAATAATTTTGAATAAGCTGGTTATGAGAAATATATATTCCAAATTTGTGTGTGTGTGTATATATATATATTTACTGCCCTGCCAAAAGTTTCCTGATGCATTTTCAAATGTGGCATGACCCTTTTATAAAGAAATTTAGTGAATATAATTACATTTACAAGAAGTAGATTAATAGTGTCATAGTGTGTGCAAGGTGCCAGTAATTGTGAACTGGGTAAAGAGAGATATGAGTAGCCCGACGGTATAGAAAAATGGTAAATGAAGTAGTTGTGTTTTATGTTCACATGTGTTCTGCTGAGCTAAAGATTACCGAATGAAATCTGGAATTTGGTACCATAACACCTGAAAAATATAAACAGTCTGGTAAAAGCAAAAAAATCTGAGTGTTATTAATGTACATTTGTAACAATTGTTAAAAGTTGCTAGAAATCATCTTTAAACATATTCATAATGATTACAGCATAGATCTGTTTTGTCACGTATCAGTGGACACTTATCTGTCAGATGTGTGTATTGTATTTTCCACAAGTATGAGTACTCTGACAGAGCTGGGAAATTGAAACCATTCATCATTTGAAGGCTGAGTATAAAATAAGAGAATCTGGGAATAATATGTTTTCTTCACTCAGCTTTAAAGAGATGGCTGAATAAAGCTTTGTAAGCCAGAAAGTGAAAAATTCAACATTAATTATGTTGTGTCAACTATGAAGGACCATGTTTGAGATTGTAGCATGAGGTTTGTAAAGAACTGGGATGTTTAAATACCCATGTATATTTATATCATATCAGTGAACATTGCCAAGGTCATGGTGAGGTTTTGTGTGAACAGGTCAATGTGTTATTTCAGCAAGCATTCTCAAGAAATTTTGTAATGACACAAAATGAACAGATACCTCTAAACACCATTTCTTTTTTTTTTTCTATTTCATGTTGTGTCATTATAACCTTAATTTTCCCACTTCTCACAGACTCAACTCCCAGATGTTGTTTTGACAGGATACTGCTCCCTATCACAAACAATATGAGCCATGGTCTAGTTTCTAAATACCAATAACTGTGTCTTGGAATGGCTCACTTAGAACTTAAATCTCAGCTACATCTTTTAGACTATCTGGAGAGGATAGTTCTAAAAGTTAGACCACAACTTTCAAGTTGTGATTGATTGGGTAAACCTTTAGAACAGTTATGAAGGTGAAATTGCATCAAATCTTAGATAAAAGCATGTTTCATAGGATAACAGTTACCAAGAAAATGTGGTGCTAAACAGTATAAGGGCATTAATTACTAGGATCCCCAGTATGACTACTTGCTTGGTTGTCGTATGTTTAAACTATACTTCAAAGATGTTTCTGTTCCCATAATTAAGATTAATAGAATTATTCATACTATTACAAGTCTGTGTATATGGTAGCATCTATTCAATTTGTTTGAATTGCATGATTACTACTGGAATTTTTATCAGTTATATTAGTGATTATTAATTTTCAATATAACTAATTAACCAAAAGAAATCCTTATAAATGTAAGTGTTGTAAGTAGCAAATTTGCAAAATGTAGGTAGTATAGGTGATGCTGAAATTCAGCACTGATAAATAGCTTAAGCATAAAAATTGTCTTAATGTAATATAAGTGAAGAACAATGAAAAATAAAACTACAAACTTAAATAACAATAGGTATTTTTACTTCTGTCGTAACTGAAATAACTACTCATTTCACCCTTCTATAACTACTATGAAATATATATTTAATCAGATATGTTCAGGTGATTTTTCTAAATTTTTGTGCATGTGTTCTTCTGTATAAATTTATAGAAACCTCATTAACTGGGTGTCAAAATGTCGTATATGTATGCTCAGGTAAAAGTTGTCTGTGGCAATGGCTAGAAGCTTGTATCTCTTTGGATCCTTGCCTGCACTTTCTCAGGGAATAGTTGATGGTATACATAAATTTGGCCCTTTGTCTGATTTGAAAGTGTGATATATCATAATTTTCTTGTTCTGTGCAGACATGATTGGAAAGCATTTCTCCATTCCAGCAGTCAATAAGGGTTTTTGGCTATGTTTAAAGAGGGGCTTGGATATATGGGTTTGAGTATTTGTAATGTGAGACAAGGATTACTTCCTATGTGTGAAGATAAATTAATTGTTGACTGTTTTGGTGCACGCCCTTCTTACATCTGTTCATTATTATGCATGTGTGTATGTATGACATTTTTTGTATTAGGGTTATAATCTTAATTACCTTTTATATATATATCCATATATGTATATATCTTGTTTAGCTCATACACTGTATTAAGTTTTGTTTTGATATAAAAATAATTTTTAATTTGTTTGAATATTATGTAAGGAAGAGTTACTGTAATGCACTATTTGTGTGTGTAAACATTTGAAGTAAATTCATCATAATACTTTCAGTGTAAAACCTATAATATAATCAGCTGTCAGACAGTTGTATTGTTCTTCAGCACAGACAACTTTCCTAATGAGTTTCTTCCTCAACTATGATGTTACAGGTGCTTAAGACACCACCAGTGATGTCAGTATTCAGTGGATTATCAAAAGTAAATAATCATCTGTTCATCTCCGGAGCACGAGCTGTCACCGAAGAGAATGTGCGAAACCATGGAATTACTGCAATAATTAATATCACACTTACATCTCCACCTCTTCCTCTTCCTGACCTTGAGTACATTAGAATACTGGTCAGTATATGAGAGTTTCTTTTTTTTTATTTTTTCAATAGATAAAAAGCTATAAAGTGTTGAGAAAATGCATAAAATATTTTATTTGGTTTGGGAAATCTGTCTGATGCAGCATTATGTGTGGATTCCTTTATGGTAGCTATGCTGTAGGAAAGACTGTTGCATAAACAGAGTGAAGAAAATAAAAACACAGGTGATTGGTAAATATTTTTTTTATCGTGTTGCATTTACTAAACATCATGTGCTACTTGCAAAATGAGGCAGTATGGAACATTATGTGGACATCCATATGGTACACATTCTATAATTTATCCCTTAAAATAATATTCATAAAAAATACTCTGTTTGTTGAATAACACTGGATCCCTTTTTCTATTTGATATGTTTAAAGTTAGGATTCCCCTACACCCATACATAGTTTAGTTAACAGTATGTATACTTGTTCAAATAGTAAAATGTAAACAAAAAAAGTTGAGTCAACAGTTGCTATTCATTATAGAAAGAGAGGAAATTAATGGAAGACATCCCAAAATGAGAATATATGGTCTGGTTTTGGATTCATATTCAATTTTCAACTATAAAAAAAAAAACTTATCTCTTGACTTTCACCAGAATCACACCCTCTTTTTGGTCTCGTATGTATGGAGTCAAACACAACTAAATGGGCCTTGCTGTAAAACATAATACAAATTATAAAACTGTGTACAAAACAAATTCAAAGTATATTGCAAAATAAGCCCCCCCCCCAAAAAAAAAAGAAAAAGAATAAACTGGATTTCAGCTGGAAACATAGGTGTAGTTTCTATTAGTTTAGTATATATATATATATATATATATATATATACACACAGATAAAAAATTGTGAAAGAAAATATTATTTGTTCTTATCATGTTCGTTAGTTGAAGTGTTGCATTTAGGCTTAGACAATTGACCATAAGTTATACTTTGGTGTAATCAGTTACACACTCTTGAGATTGTTCAGGTTGGTGAAATATAGAGTAAATAAAGTAAAAGTCACAGACTTTCTGTACAAGAACACTTATTACATTAAGGTTGCAAGTTAAACTATGTGTAACAGATATGATATTAGTATAAAAGTAAAGGACATTCTAGTGTAATATAATTAAAAAAATTGTGAAAAGTTATAACACAGTAACAGATACTTTTGATTTTAGTAGTATTTGCGCTAGTCTTACTACTGTTAAGTTTAAAAAGACATTTCATCAGCAATTACAAGATCTTTTAAAAAGTTCAGTAAATTACTGCTTTGTGTTAGTGAACAGAAATGTTTGTATGATAATGTTACTCATATAAGTTACCAAAGAAACAAATCTGTACAAACTGTATTTATTTTTACAACATGTTTTTTGCAACACTTCTAACAGACTTCACCCTAAAAGTTGCAGATTTGAATTATCATTCTTAGTAAATCTTCATAAAAAACACTATAACAAAGCATAGCATATTAATGTTGCACTTTTAGATATATTTGATCATATTGTTTTCCAAATTATCTATTTTGTCTTGACATTGTCAAATACATTTTTTTCATAAAACTCACTCTGAGAAAAAAAAAAAAACTTTCACTAAAAACAAAGCCTGTTATCTGAATTTCAGTATCAGCATTATTAATCAAACATTCAATTTAGAATTTTTGCAAAACAAACACTTAATTTTGAAATAAATTATTAACTTTCTCTTTCCAAATACGTTATATTACAATGTTTAGTACTCACAGCTTATTAGATACAATAGAATTCAATCAACATTACAAAATTTTGTAGACAGAACTCATAAACTTGCTTATCTTTTGCAAAGGAAATTTCTCCCGCTGCTTTTTGGCTATCAGATTTAATAACTTTTGCATTAATTTCAGCAGTCTTCTTGCTACCAGTAATGAAATTGATAATTTTTACAGAATATCTTTCTTTTGTCAACGTTATTACAGTTACACCCCAGTTTCTTAACTAACTTTTTAAGGTAATGATGAACAATTCTAACATGGTGACTACCATAAGGTTTAACCCTTGTTAGTTTAAACTTTCACTATAATTACTACAATCAGTATAACAGTTCTTTATTTAACATTATATCATCAGATTTGTTTCATTAGTTTCTGTATATTCACCATTGCTGTTACTTCTTTGTTTATGCCTTATTATTACTGTCATGTTTCCCTATTTTGTTATTGCTTACATGTTTTGACTAGTTATTAAGGTTTAATTTTATATATTAATTCTGGATGTCTGCTATATAAGTTAAATATGTGTACAAATAATTAAAGTTAAATTATTAATATTTTTTTAGTACATTTAACTTGGGTTATTTTAATTAGAGTATTATTTTTTTACTATTTATTGTATAATTTGTTATTTATTTATTTATTTATTGTTATTTTTTATCTTCATAAATGTTTATTTTTCTCTGCCATCATTAGCATCATGTTACCATCTGTGTAATTAAACAGTAACATCATAGTAATGTATCTCAGATGTACAACTAATTGGCTGCATTTAATGGACTTTTATTGGTCACTAGATATTATATTAAATGATTATATGAAGTTTTGTTTCAAAAGACAGAGAATCATTGACATTGTCTGAAGAAAATAAATAGTTTTTCTGTATTTTTAAGTGAAAAGAGACTTAGGCACAAAAATTACAATTTTCTCTTTGATGTTAATGTCAATAACAGTATTGATTAAAGTGTTTATTCTGTCTATTTCTATTCTTTTTCAATTTCTATATTTTTTTATTTATTATGAAGATTATTTTGCATTGTTAGGTTAGTAATCTTACGAGATATTATTGGGATTGTGGCTGAAAACATTGCTAACAGCAAACTACTCAACTGATTAAACACTGCATCCTAATAATTATAAGTAAGAATAGTTTATGAAATTAGCTATATTAGCTGGGTTAATGTTTAGTTCTGATCTATGTAAGTAGGTTGCTTTGATCAAAAAATTAATGGTAATTACTAAATTTGATTATCACCAGTGCAGTCAAGAATAAGTAATAAATGACAAGGATTTTTAGTGCTAACGTATAACATACTAATATAAATATGTATTAACTTGGAAAAATTCAGTTACTGGGACGTGTAAGTACTTTAGTCATTAATAACTAGGATCACACCCATATATAAAATTAAATTCCTATAAGTTGGAGCCAGGGCTGAATTAATAGAGAGGGATAGGTACAATTGCAATCCCCCCCCCCTTTTAACTAAGAAAAGTTTCGTAAATCTGGAGAATGAGAATCTGCCTGACACTTTCCCCAACTTATCTATTGCCGTTCAGATCTAACTAAGCTTTATGGTGATTAACTGCTGTGGTGAGAGGTCATTCATTAAAATGTCGATAACCAAAAATAAGCTTAGATAAAAAATGACAGAGGAGTTGTTGAGTGCCTTAGCTATGTGACATGTTGAGAACAACTGATTTCAGTTGAACAGTTAGAGATTTTGCTGTTGCCAAAGCCAGAAAGTGTGTAGCATGTGTATATGTATAGCTCAAACTATAGTTAATAAATGCTGTTTAGTTGCATTTAACTTATTTAGTTTAGTTCTTGCTCTGGGCCCCTCTCCATGTCCTTAATCTGGCCCCGGTTAAAACTAAATAGTTTTTCACCACTACTTTACCCATATTATAAATCTGAAACAAAATAAAAATAACTTAGTTAAGTTTATCTGGTTAAAACCCCTGCTAAATGTGTTATTTCACTGCACTTGTGAAGAACAGTGTGATATCAAAATGCATTAAGAACTACAGCTTTTAACTAATCTTGCTTAGTATAGAATTAATTGTGTTTAAGTTGTTTATTCTAATGACACTCAGAAAATTATTATTTAAAGATAATCTGGACAAGTTCTACACATTACTGTTTAGTGCAATAAATGTGATGATGACAGATAATCCTATTTTCTCAGTGAAAGGTTCAGTGAACTACCTTTATAGATGTTATTTAAAATAATTTAAAACCAGTGACACTTATGAGGGAGAAACCTCAAGGGCCAGGTCTCTCAGGATTAATTATTAGGTGGGTTATTCTTGTACTCTCAGGATTTGGTATAATTATTAGATTTTTCTATTCTGTATTTGTAATTTATCCTTATAATATTTTTGACAACACTACAGGTAGATGACTCAACTCTGGTCGATTTAACTCCACATTTTGATCCAGTTGCAGATAAAATAAATGAAGTTAAAGAAAAGGGTGGGAAAACCTTGGTTCACTGTCTTGGTGGAGCAAGTCGTTCAGCTACTCTCTGTCTGGGTTTGTTCTTTTCTATTGTAAAATATGCATGTAGGTCCACTTATAAAAAGTATTTAAAAGTTTAGGCTACTGAGCAATCAGATTTGTAAAATCCTGTTATTTCCTGTGTGGTACTTCTTTAATTTCCTGAATATCCTAGAACCATTTCAAGATAAAACAGCAATGTGAAAAATCAAAACATTCAATCCACACTTGTCTTTTAAGTAGTATTGTCTCAAACATTTAGCTATCTAAAAGGTAAGTACTTATAACTCTACTAAAGCAAGTCTTAATGTCTACATTAAATTTCCAAATATTATGGATAATTCTGCTAATATAGCAGTTTCCCCAGAATCCACTAAAACTGTTCACAGACAGGCTGTCAGAATGTCTAATGATCCCAAACTTAAAATAACATCAAGTTCTTCAAAATTAGTTAAACCATAGAACAAACAAAAAATTTTAATTTTTATGTCTCACATCATTGTTATGGTGTGAATGCCTTTTACAAGCTGGCAAAACATGTTTATAATGATTTATACTTGTCATAAAACATCAGTATCAGGCCTATTATATTTTATAACACCACATTCTTTATCTAATACCTTTGGTATTTTCAAGAATTAGAAGAATGTTTAGTAGTACCATTTTAACCATGCTATACTCACTATATCCATTGTTCACAATGTGTTTTGCTTAATTCTGAGCTTTACTGTGTTTGTTATATCCCAACTGGCCCGAAGAGCTCTGAATTTGGTGAAATGCACCACCAGCAATAAATATGGCAAATATATTGTGGTTTAAATGCTATTATTATAATACCTTCTTCTTATTCTTGAAAATCCATAAGGGATTAGGTAAAGAATTTAGTGTTAAAAAATATAATAGGGCTAATTCTAATGTCTCGGAAACATTTCCAAAGTTTGTGACATTTTCATGTTTCGTTATCCACTGTCAGTGGTTAGTTTTACTTATACAGAATGTTTGTACTAAACTAGATATTTGAGTACTAGCATAACGATGCATTTAACTTACATACAAAAAAAAAGCTATATGTTGATACAATGTTATCAAATTCCAGTTTGTGTTTAATTTCTTCCCACAAAAAATATTTTACAATGAAAATAATAGCATTAATACAAACTCTTACGTTCTGTTTGTGTTATGTACAATAGAAAGAGTAAATACTTGAAACCAATGTGGTGTAATTCCAGCACCATTGATAAGCAAGAAAATGGTAGTGAAAAGTATATGAGAAAGATGTTATTCTTAATGAAAATATAATTAAAAATCAACAGTTGATATGTGTTTTGAAAAGAACAGCTAGGTAAAATTATTTATATATGTAGATGCTTTTGGATCCATTTAAAAATTTTAAAGTTTTGTATTCACGTATACTTTATTATGTTATTCTATGTGGATGAGTAAATGGTAGCATGAGCTTCATTATATTATCTTTATATTTTCCAGTTTATCTTATGAAGTATCAAAACATGAAACTGCAAGATGCTTATCGCTACCTTAAAAAATGCCGTCCAGTTGTCCGTCCAAATAATGGGTTCTTCAGTCAGTTGATAGAATATGAAAAAAAGCTTTTTGGAGAGAGTACTGTCAAAATGGTTGAGGTACCAAGTGTGGGCCCAGACCTTGTGGTTCCAGACATATTCCTAGAGGAATATAAAGGCTTTGTTTGGTTGAAAAGTGTGAAAGCTTCTCTATCTAAAAAGGAGTAAACAGTGTGAACCACTTTGTAATTATTGTTTGTCTGACATATAAATAATTCTGTTTTTTTTGTTTCATTTCTACATGCATGTTATGAATGAACAGGTGAATCTCAAAACACTTCTATGATATATATTTTCAAGTGCATCTAAACTGAGAACTTGAATTAAAATGAAGTTTGTATGTTATAAAATTGAATTGTTGGTATATTTACAGTAAATTACAAAATACACACAATGTGAAACAGGAGTTTCATCCTGAGTGATTATTTACAATATTTACAATGAAAGTTTTAATAATATCTTCTTTTTTTTCTGCATACATTTATATGTATAATAAATTAACCCAAATATTAAAGTGTCTTTGAGTCTGGGTATATAATGTACATTTCAATCTTGAAACTTATATTTAAAATATAAACTTAAAAGTTATGGTTTCATACTGATAATTGTTTTATCATGATTTAGACTGAAGGTGTGGTGCATGGGATACATGACACCTATACACTAGCAGAATGTTCATTTGAATATTTATCTGTAAGTATTTAAAGTGAGGCAGAGTATGAAATATAAGATGTAGACACATGTTCGACAAGTGTCATTGGTTTGCCCCTAAACTTGGCAAAACAGAGAAGACATTCTAGAAGAATGACCTACTTCGAAATAACCACATATTGAAAAGAAGGAGTATACAATGGTTTTTTAAAAGCAATAGTTAGTCTTTTTATGCTTTATTTACATTTGCAACATTGGGATAATTTTGGTTATTTAGACCTCTGCATCATTTTCTGATGATAATTTGTAACATCACTGTTAATTCAGATGTTATAATTACAAGACCATTTAATAAAGTTTTACACAAAAGGAAATAAGGCATGCTTCTAGTTTGTTCAATACACAACAGTCATTTTAAAAAATTTGTAGACTCTTCAGTTCCTGTCTCTTAATAGGAAAGTCAGAGATAAAAGTAACCTGTATTAATATCCAGGCTGCATTTTTATCCAAAAATGTTTAAAGGTCCATCCTTTGTTGTTGACATCATATTATGGAAAATGCATGTTTTATGTAAAGTGGAGTGTTTTCAATTAATATATTAGTAACTTTTGTATTGTATTTTATTCAGATTCTAAAATTCTGTTTTATCCAGAATTATGAAAACTTGTAGTTTTGAAACGTATACAACTGTTTTGGCCTATTTTACTAGTCATTTTAATAAAACTTTTTCTTGTATGCTTACATCATTTGTTTTCATTTGAGACAGAATTTGATTTGTTATAAAAAAATGATGGATTAAATTATTAAAGCATATGATGGTTATATGCGAATATAATTAAAACTTCTAATGACTGCTCAACACACAAAATGTATGAATTACAAAGAAAATAGCACTTTTTCTTCCATTACCATTACTGCACCAACACTTTTATGAGTGTTTGATCCTTGTTGTCAAGACAACCTAAGGTTTAAAAATAATAATGATGATGTGCCCTAGGCAAAATAAGAAACAGTACAATCTGTTCTTGCCTCTAAAGGAATGTTGCATTTTCCTACCGAATAAGGAACAGTTCCATAAAATATATAACAGGTAGTAAACCTAATTACTGTTGGCAAAGCAATATATCAACTTTCTTAGGCCTTTCCCCAGTGTAAATGATACTAGGTTATCCATAAATTTCATGTATATATATATTTTGTTTGTTATTGATAATCTGAAGTTCTCATCATGTCCAAATTGCAAAACAAGCGTAGTCATTTTTATGTGTATGTTTGTAAGGAAGCACCAGCTAGTTTAAACAAAGTGTTATATAACAGAGTATATAAGTATCCACTTCTCATGTCTGCATCGAAATTTAAACCTTTAGTTTGTAAGAGAAATGTTGATGATACATTTGTTGTATTCAGAGAAGAGAGCCGTGTCAAAAAGTTTCAAGATTATTTAAATTCTAAACACAGGAATATCAAATTTATAGTTGAAGAACAAAAAGAGTCGAAAATTGTCTTTTTTTTTTAGATCTAGAGGTCATGAACCTGAACAACATGTTCGAAACTAGATACTACCACAAACCGTAAAATTTGTGATCTGTACTTTCATTTCTGCATATTCATACCTGATTGTTACAAAATTAATTTAATAAGTCTTCTGATTCATAGAGCTATAAACTTACTAGCTCTTATTGTTATTTTCAGTATTAAAAAATATACGATTAAAAATGCCTTTCTTCTAGCACTCATCAACCACAGTATTTTTGAATACATTAATAAAGTTTACAACTCCAAGGTTACAGACTTCAACAAGGTTTCGATACCCGTGGTGGGCACAGCACAGGTAGCTCATTGTGTAGCTTTGTGCCTAATTCCAAACAAACAAACAGACTTCAACGTTCCCAAATATACTATCACCTTTTGTTTACCTTCACTGGTTTTCATAGCATCAAACTAAAAAGAAAAATCACGAACATTCAGCAATCAACTTATCCTAAAGTCAGCCTAAGAGTGATCTTTAAACCCAGCAAGTGAGTAGGTAAATTCTTTCTGTTTAAAGACAAAATAACTCCCTCAAAAAATCGCTAGTGGTGTATCAATACACGTATTCATGCTGTAGGCATGGCTACATTAGGTCAACCACCTAAACCTTAGCTACTAGGATTAAGGAGCATGTGCAAAACAGCCCTTCCAACAACTCTGAAATTTACAACCATCTAAGCAAAGACTGTAGTGAGAAACCTTATATTGTGAACACTTCAAAATAATAGACTCGGCAACAGACGAATGGACACTAAAGAAAAAGGAAGCACTCCTAAATCGAAACTTAAAACCAAAGCTGAACAACCAATTGGCAACACCACTGTATCTCAAACTGTAATAAACTTATTCCTGACATGGGCAAAGAGTGAAAACTTTGTATAAAATTACTTAGCCTACTATTTGAACCAGCTCAGTGTAAAATAAAATGTGTGGTTGTCAATCAGTGGCAAGTATTGGCCATAGGAACTCTAGACATGGAAGTGTTGCAGAAACTATACGTTAGTATCTTTGGAAAGACACAGTAAGAGTGTTGTTTTGTTTGCTTTAGTGCAAAACTACGTGATGGGCTATTTCGGCTATCTACCAAGGGGACTCAAACCCGAGATTTTAGCACTGTAAGTGCGTAAACTTAACGCCGACCCACCGGGGGACAAAAGTGATGGTTGGACATTTAAAACCAGAGATTTGATCTAAGACATTTTAAAAACAAATTCAGATTAACACAACTATACCATAACAGTAGAGCCAACTGTAGACTAGTGATTTCTGCAGAAGAGAATTAGGGACCAATCCCAATACACCAACCAGCCGAAACATTTGTTGTTCATGAAACTTGCAAGGAAGATGTGGCTATGGTCAACAACAATAGGAACATTATGTATTCTTAAAGCACCACTGTCAGTCTTTGTATAGACTATCGTTTATTGTTATATTGATAATTTAGGTGCTGAATGGAAAGAGTGTTATGATACAAGTATTTGAGGAGCATCTCTAACACTGCATTGACATACAGGCAATGCATGCTCGATGAAGATGCAACCCAGGTGATTACGAGAGTTGTTTCAGCCTGTAATAGAATGTTCTAGGAAGATCTGTTTGAGTCACTCAGAAAGTGTGTTGCATGCTCGATGAAGATGCAACCCAGGTGGTTACGAGATTTGTTTCAGCCTGTAATAGAATGAATGTTCTAGGAAGATCTGTTTGAGTCACTCAGAAAGTGTGTTGCTATAATATAGAAAATATTCTGTAGTTCTCGCATGCATGTAGTTACTTGGGTAGACGCTACTTTCTTATTGTAAACAACAACAAAATGTCCACACATTTAAATTAGCATGGCGATTTAACTCGATGAATCTTACGAGTTAAACAATTACAGTCCAATTATCAATTAAGAGCAGATTAGTAAGAATGAAATAGCAAAATGACATCTTTCATGCAATATGATAGATAAATTAAACCTTAGGATGTATCCCAACCGGGTGATATTGAGGAAGCCAGTTTTCAAGTTAACATGATACACCATTTGCTGTTTGGTACAACCGAGTGAACTTGCTAACAGGAGTGTGTGGAGTATCTGGGCCGAGGAATGTCGAATACTTTGGGTCTATATATACGTTAAAAGAAGATTATATCAAAGGAATTGTTATGACAAGATGTTAAAGGATAAACATTTCTAACTGGCGGTGGTTGAACGTGCATTTACTATCTATTATCATACAACCAATTAGCTCCGGAGGAATTGTTCTCTGTTGATCCTGTATCAAAATGTGCTAGTTAATTATAAAACATCAATCTTGTAAAGAGAAAGGACGTGTATTTCGGCTCAAGATGTTTGGCACCAAAGAACCACTCCAATATTTGCTGGATTCGAGTCCCTTCAATAAACATCCAAAGAAAGTGAAACTTATATTGAGGATATTAATAAATCGCTAAGTCATCTTCAATTTGGAGGATGAAGAAGAGATATCTATGGGAATGAGAATGTGACATGCGAGAATAACGTGTGTTTTACAACCATCTTACTATGTTTCTATGCAGTCCAGAAAAGTGTTGAACTTGCTTAGTTCTAACCTTTGTGTCTTTGTTTGTTCTTATAGCAGATAACAGTTTCCTGGCCCGTTCATTGCGGCACATCCTTTCGTTGGCAGAGAGGATGGTGTAAATATGTTTCAGCCGACAATTCTTTAAATGTATGCTGCTGTTGTTGTTGTTTTATAATAAATCAAGATTGTTTTAAAACGTGTCTCGTCTGTTTATATTTCGCACCATTTAAAACTCGCTCGAGTTTTTGAATTCGAATTACATCACAACCTTTCTGTTTGATACTCCCATTATTAAGCGGACCTATTTGAATCTTGCTAGGAAAGCGATTTAGCTGAGAAATAACCAAGGGGAAGGACTATGAAGCTCTGTATCCATGGCAAGAGAAACACAAAAATATGGCTGTTACCAATCAACCAGTCACTGTCAACCTTACTTAGAACAACAGAAATCAAAACTGAGTTGGGACTATTTTTTTCGTAACGAGGACAATAAGAGTAGCAAAAGAAAATCGTTTGTGTTTCTGTATTGTGGAATTGTCAGTATTTATATTTCTTTTACTGACATAATGTGGGAGGTTCGGATGAGAGTCCGATTTCAGCAAGTAGATATTTTCGTAACTGTAGATAACCTGTTCTAGCGAACTAAAAGAAATTTTCTTTGGGATTTTCACCATTATTGTTTACGACATTAAATTACTTGTAGCATGTAGAGGGCTAGTTTGATCAGAAAATGTATTTCACTTCCGGAAAACGGTCGTGTATGCACGTATATGGTGGATATAATTTAGGCTGAATGTCTTGGGAGTTTCTGTTCATATATATATATTTAGGATTTATTTTTGCCGTGTGCGATCTGGGTATGCCTAAAATATTTTTGTGTTCAGAATGTTTCAGGTGCTTTTTTAAAGGTTTTTATCATATAATTTTTCTCCAAATTATCCAAGATCTTAATTTTTCCGTACATTTAATTTTCTGTCTAACGTGTGACTGTAAATTTTAGATTGTTTTGTCAAAACGTGGTCATTTTTTTGTTTACCCGTTTTTTATAATCATGTTTAATAGCTTTTAAACATTTGAGAAGGAAGTACTGAAGATGGGGCGAGTGGTAATTTTGATGGTGGCGATGATATAATTTAAATTATTGTCGGTTGTAAAACATTTCGCGTCCAATTTCTCATCATTTACTTAATTTTAAATAATATTTTCATCAACTGCTTTTCACTATATCATATGTTTATAGATAGCAGCAGCGTATTAATCACAGATCGTTGTTATTCTGTTTTATGTAAAGTAGTGCTCAAGTCAATAGCTACTATCTTGAATTATGGCTTATTGATGCCCATTGTTTATGATAACGGAATTACTTGTAATATTAACCTTTTACAACTGCCGCTTAACGAATAACTCATACGGTGTACAGATTTGAAGAGAAAATTAACGTAAATTAATCACTGCTATTTTTTCCTTACTGCTATTAATTAATTATCCCGTTGTCTTGTTATAATTAATATGCTTTATTTTTATGAGAAAAAAAATAGAAACCACCTTATGTTTCTATTTACAATTATATTTCATAAATGTGATTTTTTTTATTTTTTATTAACAGACTATTTATATTTTTTATACTTTTGAAGTCACGACTCGTCGATTAATTTCGAAAGGTTATATTTCCAGACAGAAGTGGAATTAAATTTTGTAACGGAAACGAACTTTCACAATGTCCTCTTTTTAAAGCAGCACTTCTAAAAGTATAAAATATAATGTGCTTGTGGTTCAATAAAACTAAAATGTAAGAAATAATTAGTAATAAGTTTATGTTTATTTGGAATACAGTGGATAAAAGCGGATCATATGTACTTACATTTATATTCATTTTATTTAATCCATAAAGAAGGAAATTCATGTTGGATACATTTCATTCTCACTGCGACATAAAAATTCTTAATTCACATAATCGTAGTAACACTTAAATATTTATTTTTACAAGACAGCCCTCCACCCTTTACAAAGACCTGCATATAAAAATAGTAGATCACAATTCAGACTTGACAGAAATATAATTCAAAGAAAGTGCTCGTTTTAAGCTTTCTTAATTTTAGAAGCCGAAAAGTTCGCAGAGAATTTAATTACTACAGAACTTCAATTATAAAAACAAGCCAACGATATTATGACATTCAATGCATATACAGTGTGGATTGGGTTATTCAGTTTTATCTGAAATGTTTCTAACTGTGTCTTTCAGGCTTTCAGATAGTAATTAAAGTGTATTCCTGTTGTTTTGGATCAACAGCTAAAGTTAGTTCAGTAATACCCCGTTCAGCACTCAGGAATGGCTCCTGACAACAGAGCTCTAAACAGGGTCATTAAATATATGTAACTAAAGGCATTGTTTCTTACCTGTGAATGATGTATAAGTGGTTTATTTAGATGCTGGTAAAGTTATGATGAAATACTCACTATAATATCGTCGTTGCAAATTTTATTAGCCTTCAATCTTGTTTGGTTACAGAGCCATCAAATAAAAAATCAGACTCCTCCTGCCACGCTTACCTTTCATATCTTCTCTTTCAGGATTTGTCAATACATGTAGTACTCTCTTACGTTTAGGACTTTATTGGTTATAACCAATAGACAAGCAAGGTTTTTGCCTATCAAATAACGCATTATATTACGTTGTTTTCTGTGCAGAGATTTGTAGATAGCTTCCTAAGAAATTGTTGTTTTTTTCCACGGGAACAATATTGTGTAGATGGATGACATTTTAAAGGTTCATATTGCGTCGCTAGAAACGGCAGAAAAATTGGGACATAGTCTGCTTTTTGCATGTTATTATTCTATGTTATTTGTTGCATTATTTTATTAAATAAAAAGTATTTAGTGCACTACTACCATTAGTATGAAAAAGTAGTGTTTAGAGAGTTATGGATTTTCATCATTTTTTTCTCTCTCTCTCTTGAAAAAAAAAAATCTCTCAAGGATACAAGAACTCTATAAGGTATCAGCTTAAAGCGGGGTCTTACTGTATTAGAATTGAGTATTTATTCTCAAAATATGTTGAGCTGTAGATGGTAAACATGAAGAAAGAAGTGCACTTTTATATAAATGTTTAAACGCTTATCTAATAAAATCAGTTAGTTTTCAGTAGAGCAGTGTATGGATAAGGCATCAATTTTGTTTTATTATTATTGAGAAGAAAAGGGTACAAACATTTCAATCATCTCACTTTTTATCTCTGCAGAAGTTGTACTTTCTTTCGAAGGAATGTAATCCATTTCAGTAATGGGGTTGGGGAAATATTTCCCCAAAATAAGCTGTCTAAGCATCCTCATCTTTTCCAGAACCTCTTCGGAAGAGAAATGTTTGGTAATTGGCCTTTTCTCTGATGCCACGAGACGTGGAGACTGAAGAATTTCCGGCCTTTGTCTTTCATTATATATCATCATCATGTCGTGTTCTTGGTCTTTTGGATGAGTTTCTTCAGAGTACGGGTCTTGAAGGTAGAAGGGAATCAGTTGCTGTCCTTGAGATTCTTCCTCTGACAAAGGACGTGGATCAGCTACAGCTACTGGTACAGGAATTGGAACAGGAACAAAAACTGGCACTATTTGTTGTTTTGATTGATCTTGTACTGTAGTACCATAATATCCGAGTTGAGACATAACAGTTCTTGGTGCTGGAGAATATTGAGATTCAGAAATAATTGGTTGGGAATTCAACATCCTTGGCATTGATTCCTGATCATCCAAAAAACGAAGTTCTTGGAACTGTACTGAATTACTTCTTTCATCTTGTATCATATTAGGATATGAAATAGGAAGTATGTTAGGTTTACCATGAGAAAATGAAACTGGAAAAGGGTACCTGTAGGAAAAGGGTTGTTGATGAAAAGGTGCTGGTCGATTATTTTGTACTTGATTTAAAAATACAGACTGAGCAGCAGTAGGTTGAAAAAGGTGAGAGTAGTACGCTTTTCCTTGTGGCTTGTAGACCGGATGAGGTCTTTGAGGATATTGCAGACGCGATGAACGTTGAGGGTATCCTAGATGCATCAAAATAGACTGAAAAGGTGGATAAGGTTTTGTATATGAAGGATCAAAAGGTCCAATCTTTTGTTGCTTGAAAGATATAGGAGGAGCTGTGGGGGAAAATGGTGCAGCAGAATAATCAGATTCAGCATAAATCAAATGTCTATTCGGTTTGGAATAAACTAGATTAGGTTTCATTTGGAAGTGTGGTCTTCTAATAGGTTTTTGTTTAAATTGACGGCGAAAAAATGCTGGATTACGCATCGCCCCAATACATGTTTTTCTGATGGAGTTTGGATGAAAACGAGGTAAAGGTTGGAGATAAGGATCTGTGGAAAACGCATTTCTTTTCTCCGAGTTGGTGTTTGATGCGACGACGAAAATATCCTCATTGTTCTGTTCAGGCTGTCTCTGTATATTTTGGTTTAATCCACTACCAAGAATCAAAGCACGCCTCATTAGCATGGACCCTTCCACTTTTGGAGATGGAAACTGAGGAGGCAATTTATTGTCAATTCTTAGGGATAATGGAACGAAAGGTTGCTGCTGTTTGTGGCTGTACTTTGAATAAACAGGAGAAAACGAAATGACCTTGGTTTATTCTCTGAAATAGGTTTGGGCTTTCTGTAAAGAGGAATAGTTGTTGGCTCCAAGCCGAGAATATTACGTAAATCTTCTGTTTTAAGTCGTCGCTCGTTTTGAGGTTCAGTTTGGATTGGAGTATTGTTTTCTTCGGAAGATAAAGGAAGATTATAGAATGGTATTTTCGCATCATCCCCCATACCGCCTGTGTTTACAGTTTCTTCTTCAAGTGATATATTTTCAGCTTTCTCCGATACCTCCTCCACGTCGGGGCCAATCATGTATAAAGGCTCATCAATTTTGTCATCCTGTTTGTCTTTGTCATCAGAGCTTGCTTCTTTTAATGTTTCTTGTTTAGGATCAAGACTTTGGGTTTTAGCAATTACTGGATAACTTTGAAAAGATTCTGCTGTCAAGTAGTGGTCATCCTCCTCCTGCTTCTCTCCTAATGCTTCATCCAAAGGATAGGCTAACATGTAGCCAGAACTTTGGGTATCTGGGATAAAAGTTGATATGATCCCAGAATCAATGGCACCACTGATCTAAAAAGACACATCATATTATAATAGTATTATTAACACTTATTGGAAAAAAAGAGAAATTATGTTAAACTAGTTAAATTCACTTCCATAAATACTTATTAACATACATAGATACTGTTTATTCATCTATACGTATATAAAACACTTCCAGCATACATATTTCTTTTAACTTCATAACGAGGAACCCAGTTTTTTAAAAATAAAAATTTTGAGACGGCGAACATTTATAATAAAGTTTTTCATTACCCATTCAAGCCGTCTTAAAACACATATTTCTTTTGTTGCCATCTTTTTGTTTAAATATTTTCTACCTGCTCTTTTCAAATTTTATCTGTGTTTGAAGTAAATTTTCGTTTCAGCCTTTCAGATTTATCTTTTTGTGACTTAGATCTTTCCTTTCTACCTCTTCACCCACCCACCCCTCCTCGTGGCGGATTTACAATGCTAGAAACCGGGTTTATATGCCCGTGAGCTGGACAACACAGATAGCCCATTGTTTAACTTTGTGCTTAAACTACAAATAAGCAAACCTCTTCAAAAATTATCTTTCTTTGAAACGATTTAAATATTTTATTTTCTACATTTTAAAACATTTATAAACCTCACAACTTAAAGTTTTATTTCTATGAAAGATAATTAATAAATTAGTAAGGAGAGATGAGATCAAACTTTTTATTCCTTGAAGACTATAATAAATTAATGCAAAAACAACAACATTTTTTTTAGTATGTCCAAGTAAATGTTTGAAAGTGGGAAGGTAAGACACGAAGTTCAAATTTCAGAAATTTGTAAGTAGCTTCTGAACATATTATTATGTAAAACAAACACTATCAGGAAGAATTTTATCCAAAACAGCCTGAAATACGTATTCAGGTACAAAAGAAAACTATTGTTCAACGAGCAGTGTATCAGTACGTGATAGATACACCAATTTATAAAAACAACAACATGAATGTATTAAAAAAAAACGTTCCCAGAATAGTAATTCCGATACAATTTCTTGTTTAGTTCTGAAAGAGTGGGTCCGGTGGTTACTGCGCTCGACCCATAATCTGAGTTTATTTTCTAGTTTGTTTTTCAGTGTCCGGGTCTCTGCATCATAAAACAACAAAAAAGCTTCCAAAAGATCATGAACAGCCATATTTTCACTCCTCTGAAAGATCGTTACAAAATTATCGAACATTTTTACCCTATCATACAAAAGTGAAAACCTAACTAAACATACCAGCGTTTCCTCAGCATCACTTCCTTCGATCCCATTTATTGTGGTTAGTGAACCTGAAAATAAAAAAACGGGATAATGTATACTAAGTTATGAATAATTTGTGACTAACATACTTTTTCTGGTACTCCTTTAATCACCAGTCTCTTAATTCCGAAGTTAATGATAAAGTGTTCTGTCATGCAACTGGGACTGTGGAGCAGCAGTAAATCTACGGACTTACAACACTAAAATCCAGGGTTCGATTTCCCGTGATGAACACAGCAGATAGCCCAATGTGGTTTTTCAGTAAAACAGATAGAGCAAGTGGTGTCTTGAAAACATATGGAAATAATTTTCCATCAGTTTAAAAATTGAGTTGTGGTGTTTAATTTATAGTGATTATATTTTTACAAAATATGCTTGGTTTAGAACAACAATTCTTCCAAGATTGACTGGTTTAATTGACTGCCTACTGAGACGAAGCAAGTTCATTTCCCTATTTCTAAAGGCTTGTCTTTGTGTGTGTGTGTGTGCGTGATTTAAATCTTTCCTTCCTACACTTTTAAATATTTGTCTTTTTGTGAGATAAACATTTTCTTCCTACCCTTTTAATGTTTTATCTTTCTGCGGTTTAACTATTGTCTTCCTACTCTTTTATAATTTGTCTGTTAGTGATTTAACTCTTTCATTCCTAACCATTTAAAGATTTTTCTCTTTGCGAATTAAATCTTTCTTATAATTTTAGATTTATTTGTCCTCTTTTGTCCGCTAGATGGACGGCGTTCGTAAATCAACAGACGAAAGAACAAATTTCGACCAAGATTAATGCAAATATCAAACAAAAGGTAAAAGCTGCAACAGAAAAAATAATCGTAATGACACTATTTAAATATGAATGTATATCAACCAGAAAGCCGAAAAAAAATAGCAAAATATTTCTAAACTAAATAAAACAAAGCCTTCTGCTAAACCATAAAAGATAAATTGCAGTTGCCAATAGTAAATACGAAGTGAAGAATAAAAAGTGGAATAGCTCACTATCTATAAAGCAATTTGTCAGTATATCATATATCTATTTGCACGAACTTGTATCCTCACCTATAAGAAAAAGGCCACAAAGAATCCACGATGTCTTCATTTTCATTGGTAGAAGGTACGAATCTTGTGCTCCGCCTATAAAAGAAAGTTTTTTTTTAAATTAATTATTGCACCGCTAAACGTGACTTTTCGAAAGGTGTAAATCATAACTTTTTTGGCCATCTAAGATTGTATAGGAATTGAAGCAGATACAATAAAAATTGTATAAGATGCTGTTTGTTTTATATACTAAAAATATTATTCCATACAGGGTGACAACAGCTAGTTGTACTGGGAATGATGCAAAAAATACAAGATAAAGGTACACCTAAACAATAACAGGTTTAATATTTTTGAAGGTAATAAAACCTGTTAGTTTTATATGAGAGCTTGCAAAATTAGACGACTTCATACACTTCTGACTGCACGGTATAATATCGAACAGAAGTACCGCGAAAAGCGAAGGTTATATTTTGTCTCAAGGTTAGAAAAAATGTTCCTTTGTTGAGAACCGGGAACTCTACGTCGGTAATCGTGCTTCGCCTATTTTAATACTTTTTTTTACGTAGGCTTAAGCCCGTTCCCTGTTGGTTAAATTCAGTACTCTGAAAAAAAATATATAGACAATTTGTACGTCTATCTAAAGGTATAAAACCGTCACTGTTGGCTCTGCTATTTTGATTCCATCCAAATTAAATTCGTGTTTCTAAATTGTTGTTGTTTTTTGTCAGATTGAAAACTAACTGCTGTTAAGGCAGACTTTTTATTTCCATCGAAATTAAATTCTTCGGCTGCAATATTCAAAGTTACGCCCCCCCCCAGTTTTACTTCTTCAAACCCCCCAGTGGCACAGCGGTATGTCTGCGGACATACAACGCTAGAATCCGGGTTTCAATATCCGTGGTGGGCAGAGCACAGACAGCCCATTTTGTAGCTTTGTGCTTACTTACAAACAAACAATTCAAAGTTACAGAGGAAACTAATTAAATAGCTGATTTCCTATTTTTAAGTTACAACCCTCTTTAAAAAATATTAATGCTTTGTTACGTCTCTGTGTTCGTTTGTTAATTTTCTGTATAAATTCTTCCGATAAACTTCAGCGATACAAGTCCTTTCTTAAATAAAACTAGTTTATTCTTTCTCAACTCAACTTTGCAATACACTTAATTTCCACAGTCACTTTACCTTAAACCCATGCTACAATTCACAAAGATTCACGCACTTTACTTCGGGTCACTACCGCGCTTAACTCAATTGTTTGTCTCTGTCTGTCTGCAATTATATTCTGATTAATTCATTTCGCTTCATCTGGCGCACTTATATACAAGAATAGAGGGCGCGTAAAAAAGACCAGAGTTGCCACAAACAGACATGATCCTTCTAGAATATCATGACGTGTTACTAGCGTCACGTGTCTTCCGCTGTCATAACACTGCCCCTTCCTTAGTATTGTTTGTCCCGAACAATAGCCACTTACATTAAACCAATAGATAATTAACAAAACTTAATTAAATGTACAGAATTTACAAAAACTACAAACACAAAAAGTAAAATTCAACAAAGTCTCTTAATTTTACGGGACGTCTCTTCTTCTGTACTGTTCTCCATCTCGTTGGCTTCTGCATCACGTGAGGTTCATCTGCTCCATCGAGAATTGCCATATCATCGGTAACACTCACATCAGTGGTAGTAACGTCATCAAGGGCTTCACTGTTTCCCTTGCAAAATCGGGTAGAGTTTCTTCTTCGACAGTGGCTTTTTCAGGTGACACGTCTTCAGCAGCGTCATTTGTTTCATTGTTCACTTCATTCCAACTGAAATGTCCTGGACCGTAATAACGCCAAAGCCTGTTGGCATGTACCACCCTTTGGCTTACCTCGCCAACCACATTTTAATCGAAAAGTTACGTCTGAGAGACGATCCACTATGTAATATGGGCCTTCCCATAGAGAAGACAACTTAGGAGAC